AAAAGTATTGGGTTGCAAGGGGAAGTGGTTTGTTAGGGTTTTAAGGACCTCGGCAAAACCAAAACGAATGCTGGAGCAACGGTTTTTCAGAACCTAAATGGAATTTGTTTCAATTTTTCCTACAGTTTGGAGTTCTAAGGCAAATCCAAATCCTAGAGTTACTAAAATAGGAGGATTAAAGGCAAGAATCTGGTAAAAACAGCAAGAAAACAGAAACAAAAACATGATTCAAAATCAAGAATAGTGATGAACTATCAAGAATGCTGTAACAGAGTGTGTACAAGAGCGCGAGGCCAAAAACAGTGGCAAAATGAACAAGTGTGTGAATACGGGTATATATCCATAAACAAATTGCAAGCAAGGGAAAATTTACAACATAATGAAGATTCAAGAACATGAATGAAGTCACAGAAGCAGTATACAAATGTAACAGTTTGAGGAGAAACAAGAAACTAAAACGAAGGAAAGCAGTGGTTGACCACATGAGTGAAGCCAGTGTTGAGTATGCCGGAGTCAGATGATGGCAAGAATAAAAAAAGATCAGCAAAAGCGTCGCCGGAAGAGAAGAATGGAAGTGGTTGCAGAGCTTGAGAGCTTGAAACAATGGCGAATTTGGGAGAGTAGAGAGAGAGAGTTTGCACGAAAGTGATGGTGAAAAAGTGAAAAGACGGAGAAAGAGATATGGTTTTGATCAAACACATGAAATGACGACAAAAACGCAATTACTATGTCTAGGACGACGTGCTTGTCAGACGGCACACGCAAGTGCGATGCGACTTAATGGCGCGTGTCAGGTACGACTCAGTAGGGGAAAGACGCGTAGTAGAAACGGTTGAAACACTATGCGTAATAGCTCATACGTGTGAAGAAACTCTTGGAGTTCTTGATTTAATGGAGAAGGACCTCGGCTAGGGAGACGGTTTCGGCTGAGAAACTTGAACGAACTTGGTTATTGGTTCTAAAGCATTGATGAAAACGGACTATAAGTCTTGGTCATATTGAACCGACGAATGATGACCTCCGTAATGAAGGGTAAAGCGAGCTTAGCCGATGTGCTAAATGGAAGAAATGAAATAGGTTCCATCACCTCAGGATGCCGAGGTAATAGAACCTAGGAGGCAGTTGTGGGGACATAATTTTTGAATGACAATAAGTGGTCGAGGTGGCACCGAAGTGTCAGCCGATGTACCACGTGTCCTGGTCATGATGGTGAGGTAATCTTGTCTAGGCCGACGTTATCTGCGAAGATACCGGAATCCGAGATAAGCGGATAAGGGACAAGAGTCCTAGAATTGGCGAAGGCTTCAGTTTGGATAAAGATATGACTCTTAGAGAGTTTATCCCAATCTAACTGGGAGTCCAAGATTAGCATTGAGACAGAATCCATTGGAGCTAGGCTTCTATTGAAATTAGGTCAGTGTTGGCTATAAAAGAGAGGCACCCTCATGGGTCTAAGGTACGCTTTTTGCATCTTGAATAGTGAGTTATGCACTTTTGCTATCTTTGAGAGATAACTGACTTGATCGTCGGAGTGCCCCTGGGTGGAGGAACCACCACCGAAGTCTTTTTCTTTCTGTTACAGGTCGTTCGAGCGCAGTCTATTCTGCTAGCGTTCTCTAGTTGAGTACCTGTTTGGCAGTGTGGTCAGAAAACAGCACACACACCTAGTAGGGTTTGTTGGGAAATTTTCAAAATGAGTTTTCAAAATTTATTGTTTAGTTTTTGGGTGTTTTCAAAACCTACTTTGTTTTTCTTTGGAAAACTTGAAATAAGCTTGGGAACTTTGTCCCACATTGAAAAGAGAGCAAAATATGGAGCACTTAATAAAGTGTTACATAGAATATTTATTTGAATATGAAATTGTGGGATGGATACTAGTGTGCATGCACTCACACCGCAAAGATGGTGCTTCGCATCACATGCACGCTGCGTAGGCAGTGGTGCATTGACGCAAGGCGCCATGAGGGCGCTTTCTTATTTGCATCGGACAGGTTAGAGTGATGATGTGGATCCAACATGGCATGGGTGAGTTGGAATACACTTAGCTCAACGTGGCAGTGACCTATTTGCATCGAACAGGTTGGAGCGATGATGTGGATCCAACGTGGCATAGGTGAGTTGGAATACACTTAGCTCTATGTGGCAGTGATGTGGTGTCTGTTGGCGATGAGTCAACCAATCGACCGAATGGTTACGTGTCCGATCTGGAGCGATTTGATCATTGTTGTTAATTGGGAGATACGCACAATTATACAGATGAGATGACACCCGATCGTGATGAGGTATGATCAGTCAAGGCATCTATTCAGTGTGAGAGTAATATGCATTAATCAAGGCCTATAAATAGGGTGTAAAATCAACCATTTTAGCCCATCCAAAAATCCATAAAGCATTCTTGCAATTCTCTCTTTCTCTCTCTCTCTTTTGATTTAGAGTTTTCAATTAAAAGTTTCTTAAGCAAGTTTTTGCTTTTCTTACTGGTAATCAAATTCTGCAGACTTGATTATCAGTGTCTTGGTTTTCTTGATTATATCAAGAGTATTTTGATTTACTGTCGTCAGTGCAGACACTGGTAGACTTGATCTTTAAATCAGGTTTCATTATATCTTAGAGGCAAATTTACTGTAACCCCTTGCAAACTTTTTGGTGGGTGCAAATATTGTCTTTAGGAAAGCGACTAAGTAACGTGACTTGTGTTCTACATAAACAAGATCATCGCCAAATTTTGAAGATCCGAAAATCGCCAACTGAAAAATTCAAGACGAATTGTTCCAACAGGGTTTTGAAATTCAATTTATTTTGTTTTGACATTGTTCGTAAATTATTCAATGTCAATTGTTCTTAAGGGTTGGTTTGGGAAGTGGGTTGGCTTTTTGGCTTTCTTGATTATTTTAGCCTAGGCTAAAAAGCTTAGTTTGAGAAGGGCTTTTGACTTTTTAAATTTTTTTTTATGAGAGAAGAGTGTAATGATTATAGATTGGATGTGATGTTTTGTTTGTTATAACTAAAATAACATATTTTATCTTTTGTGGTTAAAATAGCCAAAAAAACCCACAAAATCACTTCCCAAACGGTGCCTGCTTTGAAAAACAATGAAAGATTTTTTTATTCAATGTCAATGGTTCTTAAAGTGCTTTGAAAAACAATGAAAGATTTTTTTTATTCAATGTCAATGGTTCTTAAAGTGCTTTGAAAAACAATGAAAGATTTTTACTCCACATATTGTTTGTGTTATATCACAATAATGATAAATATGAGCGGCAAAGTCGCAAGGCCATTTGTATTTTAGTAGAGTCCTTGGGTCTTATCAGACATTGTCGTATCAGCATGGCGACAGAAAATCAATTCAAGATAACTAATGCCAGGACAATGAAAAAGCAAAAACATTTTTTGAGAAGCTTTATTCATAAGGCTCTGCATCAACATTGTATGGCAACTTCAAAAATTTCAATTTATAAGTTTTTTTCTCTTTTGGGTTCAGTATAAGAAGATCATTATATGTTGTGTTTAGATTTTAGATTTGAGGAGAAATTTGTGAAAGAAATGAAAAAAAACAAAGGAAGTGTGGGGGTGGTAAAGGAAGGGCTTGGTGGTGGTTGGAGGTGGAGAAGGCGTTGATGGTGGTGTTTGGAGTTGGAAGAGGTGGTGGTGGTCAATGGTAGAGGTGGTGGTGGTCAATGGTAGAGGTGGGTGGGGTGGAGGTGAGGTGGAAGGGGTGTGACTTTGGATTTGAAAGGTTAAAAAATGAGAATAATTTTGTTATATGGTGGATCTATTAAAAATATTAAAAATTTAAAGTCAGGGTATTTAGTATGTGTGTGCCTAGAGAATATGTGTGTACAAAAGCTAACTCTCACGATTGAGATATGAATCCAATTCAATTCCAGACTTGTGGAATGCAATCCAAAAATATTGTTAGATACCCTACCTTTGGAAAGAAAAAATTAATACCATTATATCCTGAAATTAATTACCAAAAAAGACTCTTTCCTTGACACTCACTCTCAGCAACACCCTTCTAACCTTTAGGCCACCATCACACCACCACCTCCTACAGCCACCCCAGCCCCTTCCTCACTATCATCTACCCCTCCTCTCACCCAATCACCGTCGCCATCCACCCCACTCTATTCCTTCCAATTTGTTTGAAACCCTAGATGAGGAGGTGTGGGCTGGGGTGGGGGTGGGGAGGGATTTGTTAATGGGAAAAGGTACATCACCTGAAGGGGAGGGCAGTAGTGGGGGAGTTGCAGAGAGGTGAGGGAGGGGGTAGATGGTGGCAGAGGAGAGGAGGAAAGGACTTGAGGAAGTGGTCGGAAATGGTGTCAATGACTCTCGGAGGCAGATTAGGGATTGAGTCAAGATTGATATGCAGAGAGTTTAATAGCACACCTGGCCAGAATGGAATTTTGAAGTGATTTTGACCTTCAAGAGAAGAAATGGAACTTCATTAGTGATGTTTGCGAGAGAAGTCAGAAACAAAAATCAATAATATGCAAGAGAGAAAGGCTTGCTTTATTTTTTTTGAGTAAATATGATCAGTGTCATTGTAAAAATCCCTGCCCTAATTAAACAGAGATCCATTTATAAGTTTTATGCCAAACCTAAAAGCTAGATTATTCCCAAAAAATAATAATAATAATAATACATGTAAGCGTCAACCACCACTGATGGCAGCACCGCCGCCACTAACACCATCACCACCATCACCCTCTAACAACCAACACAATCATAACTACAAGTACTACCATTGACCCAAGTATTTAGGCATAACCAAAAAACTTCTATCATTGGAACACTTTCCAACCAAAAAACTTCTATCATTGGAACACTTTCCAACCAACATTTCTGTTCTTTAGCTTACACCGTAAAAAGTGACCCCCCTGTAACAAACGGAAAGGGGGGGGGGTGGACCATATAACTGATGGATCTGCCTTGCAGAGACTTCGAGGTTTTAATATGTAAACTAGGTTCTCATTGATCAGTTAAAAAAAAAAAGATAGTTAAAAGAAGAAAAAGAAAAGCTATTACTCCTCAGCTGGATTGTCTCTCACTTCCGGGCGACTCTTTGGCCAGCCCCAAGTAACAAGGCTTTTCCTATCACGCCAGTATGAAGTCCACAAACCAGAGCCACAGTACCACCTATAACTACCCATTTCCAATCAACGCCACCATGATCACTGCCAGGTCTCTGAATATCCATGGCTTGTCCTTTCTCTTCTTCTTGTTCTTCTTCTTCGCTAGACACTATTTCCAAAGAATTGGTATTCTCTTCAGATGAAATCTTCATGGCAATGCTTGCCATCAGTGAACTTCTGGACAGAGGTGCCTCGGATTTCCTTGCCTGCTGATATGCTCTAAAGCCAGAGTGCAACTTCTTTACAGTTCCCCACATCCCGTGACGGACTCCCAATTTCGCGACATCCTTAGGGATTCCCATGTCTTCATAGTGTACAAGATTCACCTCGCACGCAGACAACTGTTCATCTCCTTTGCGGGAATGCACTACAAGTATGCAAATATACCGATCAAAATATTACATTAATTGAATTATAGATAGAAACTACCATTGAAAGTATTTGTAAGCATCACATGATTATTTGACAATGCTTACCAGGCTTGATAACCCAGCTTGAAAAATAAAGATCCACACGCCTAGGCTTTTCGTGCCTCTGTAAAGCTGGATATGGCACCCCCTGCAATATTACAGCTTCAAGTTAAAAGCTATTGTCCATACACCAACACAGCCGATATACACAAACATTTGAAAGAAATTTGATTTTCCAAAGAAAAGCAAGAAGTTGGAAGACATTTTCACATCTTATTGCCAAAAAAAGAAAAAAAAAAAAAAAAAAAAAAAACAAAGAATCTAACAACAAACACATGAAAGAAAATAAAACAGGCAAAGAATATTCATCAAGTATCTACCCTGGTAATTATCATTTTAATTGTCAGAATAAAAATATTGCTGTCAAGTTCTACAGTTTTCTCATTCTTTCCATTGTGTTTGATGAGAAACGAAGAGCTACACATTATGATGAATACATAGATGTATATAAGGCAACTCATTCAGTGGGGGAAACAACTGCATAGAGTAGAGCAAGATGCTAAAAAACCTAAAGAACAGTTTGAGAAATTATTACCTTTGTCACACAATAATATGTATTTCCAGCTTCCCATATTCTTCGACCAATGATATATTCGCGATCACTGCAGAAAAAGGGGAACTGCACAAACGAGCAAATCAAGGTATCAAACCATACATTGTCAGAACAAGAGCCATTGAAGATAAAACTCATCCATATAGATGCAAAATGCACGTATTCAGAAATACCTTTTTTATCCATTGCACAATCATTGTCCCTGTATGAGAACATTCCTTCAATATTTTGAAATATGCAAGCATGGTGTCCCATTTAGTGCGAAACTCATCATCCCAGAAAAAATCTCTAACCATCTCCGGAGTTGCATCCTCAAAAACGGTTCTGCTATGGTACACTGTGGGCCCCGTCTGATGAACAAGATTCACTGTCAGGTTTTGATGCATACAAATTTTAACCAACAATGAAAATGGGAAGGAAGACTTGAATTCTAACAAGATCTTGCAATTAGGAAAGGTTTCAGAAAATTAAGTTAAAAATATTCTTAAGTCACCAGAAAATACTACATATACATAAAAATTAAGAAAGTCATCTGGTATCATTTAACCAGATGCCCCTATGCATGCTTCTGTTATATTCTACAATTTCAATTTGACAAAAAGTGAAGGTCTGAATATCTAATAACAAGGAGCCACACACCAATATAAGGAGTAAAGCTACATGGGTATGTATCCCACAAACCATCTAAGCTAAAAATGGTAAAACTTTGGAATCAAGTTGTTACAGTGAGAAAGAAAGAAGCATAAACATTTCCTGCTCAACTACGGATTTTCCCTCATCTTATTACATTCCTGTAACAAACGGAAAGCTTTTAAAGAATCTATTATTGTTTAATCAGTCAAGCTGTGTAATCCATCCAGTTTTCCATAGAAAAACAAAACGGATGCATGTGTGAACTGTGATTATTATCCTATATCCATATCCAAGTCAATTCATATTTATGAGAATTTTGCTTCTTTAGAATTTAATGACCCCTATTACTAATGAAAAACACTAATTAAACTACAATGCAAATGCCAAGACTTGGGCCCACTTTTCCAGCACTTGAAAGACAATACATGCATCAAACAAAGGTCAAAATCCATGTAAGTAATTCCCACAGATTTCTCCAGCACACAGAAAATACACATCTTACAAAGTCAAGGCCAAATTGTACCTCAAGATCATGGCGCCAAGCTTGGTATGTCAAGTTTGAGGTGGAGCGTCCCATCATACTCTGCCACTCCATTTTCCCACCCTTGTTTTCAATAAGTTGCAATAGGTGTTCTAGATCCTTCTCTACCACAACATTCGCTACCTGTGAGGTTCCTCTGCTGGGCCTGCTAAAAAAAGTAAGTCAAAATATGGTGACATGTCCAATAAGTTAAGGTTCAAAAGTTTATAAACATAACTGGTGGTAATCCAAAAAATAATAATAATAATAAAAAAAAAAAATATATATATATATATATAATTTGCTTAAGACACAGAAATCCCTTGTTTCCTAATCTAAGGCCAAGTTTGGCATGACCTAAATAATACAAAAAGTCAAAAAGTCACTATCCTATTTAAGTCACATCATCTTATTTAAATCACATCACCTCTCTAACACATCACATCAAACCCAACCCAAACCCAACCCATATAAGCCAATAAGTCAAAAAGTACACTTTTTTAGAACATCCCAAACCAACCCTAAGTTAGAAAGGTCCCAAAATGTCTTCTACCGTGCATGCAGCAACTTCTTCTACCGTGCTTAGGTAAATGTCTTCTACCGTGCATGCAGCAACTTCTTACAAATATAGACAACCTCAATCTCCCTAAGCCACAAAGTCAATGTGTTATATATCCCTAACTAGACTTCGTAACTATTGAGTTAGGTGCCCCAACCATCTGTTTCTGTCAATACTAATTAGGTGAGAAAACATGACTTGGAGATACTTTTGAAACTTTGCAACCACAACATAACAAAGTGACCCTCCACTTTGTGGTTCAACATAGTTTAAATTTTCAAACACAACCAAGATGTGATAATTGGCAATTTCCTTCTAGTAGATTAGTCCTCAATTTTTTATTTTTTATTTTTAAATAATACCAAGTGTCATTCCACATGTTTGGATTTTCAAAGATACCATATCGTTATATATGGAGTAACCTCATTGTCAGTGGCATACCGCCACTGGATTACTAAAATAACCGTACACATAAACCGAACACGTGAAGGGCTGCCAACAACTCAAAAAGACACACAAAACCCCGACTACAAAAAACAAAATTTTCCCAAACTATATTAACCAATAGAAAGTAAAATTAGCAAGCTCTATGACTCATCTAGCGCCGGCATTGCAACATGTTAAGTGGACCACTATATCAGCTAACACCGTAACCAATGATGAATGTCGGCAACACAATCATAAATCAATACGTCAACTACATTGTTCTATACATAAAACAAAAAATCCAAGGGCATACTACGATGCCAGTAACGCCACGACAAAATCATTACCTCAACTATGGATACCACAAACCGACACACATTATCCAAAAATTTCAACTATTTCAACGACATAACAGCGTATAACGGTCACACACCATAGACCACACTGTTCCCTGCATACTTTACAAATAAATTCATGCCAAGTTTAGAACCATAAAAGCCCTAATCACATAATTATCATAGATTTAGTTGCATTATTAACAAATAAGGTTTCAGAGCACAGTCCCTAATCAATTCAAGACATCAAATTGCATACAATCACCAAGAAGCCTTAAATCAAAAACCCTAAATTAATTCTCATAACAGATGCACAAACACATATGCATATATAAATAAAGTCATTAATATACAATTCGATAAATGAAAAACCAAATTTCAAAACCGTTCTCACCTGACGTCACCGCCACTTCCGACCACCTGCGCCGCCGCCGCCGCCGCAGCCGGAGAACCGTCCTTTCCCTTCCAAATGAACCTGGACCAAAGTCTCCGACCAACCGAAAATGCCGTGAAGGCGAGCCAGAACCTCCGAGCCCCGAACCCCGGCGGCGCGGTCCAGGCGAACCGGAGCTTGGAGCGGAGACCGAGATAGAGCAGACCGGTCCACCTAGGGCGCCAGGACCAGCCGATGACAAGGCCGATCATGACAGCGAGCCAAATCGGAACTGAGGAGAGCAAAACGTCGAGAAATGTCTCGGCGAGGCCTGGGCAGTGTAGAAAGTAGATCAAATCGAAGAAGCTCTGCTCCATTATCGATCGGTGTCTACACAGATATGTGTATGCACATGAGAGAATCGATAAATGTACATATATGTATATGTATATACAAAGTGGATGAGATAAGGATATAAGGAGATAAGGTGCTAAGCCATGGAAGCTTGCATAGATTGCAGAGAGAGACAACCTGAAAAAAGGGAACGACAGACAAACAGAGAGAGAAACGTCAGGGTTTAGGCGGTTGTTGAGTCTTGTATGTTGTGTGACGTGGCGCTGTAATAACTGTCTGATCAAGTTTGCTTGTTTTTTAGGAAGATGTTTTGATACTTTTATTTGAAGCAGGTTGGTGGATTAGTGGGTGTTGAGGGGTGTTTTGGTCTTTTCGTAGCCAGGTTTGTACCTGTAGCTTCTAAATCCCGCCACTAATAAATTCCTTTGCACCCGCAAATTTTCTTATTGTATTTTAAAAAGTAGGCTAAGGCCTAATTTGGGAAGATTGAAAAAAGATAAAAAGTTAAAAAGTCACTATCCTATTTAAGTCACATCATCTTATTTAAGTCACATCATCTCTCTAATACATCACTTCAAATCCAATTCAAATCCAACTCATATTTCATAAAAAGTCAAAAAGTGCACTTATTTAGTCTTCCCAAACTATTTTCTGAAATTTTTACGTAATTCAATAATTAAGAATGTATTGAGATAGAAAAATAAAAAAATTAAAGACAAAATCTATGATCATACGTGAATAAGTGATAGAGAAGTTTCATTTTTGTTTGTTGAGTCAGTGTATTGATTAAATCTTGTTCCTTCCTTGGTTAAGGATAGAGAGTTTGTTGATATAATTTGTGAGTTTATAGTGTAACATAAACTCAATAAAATTCTATTTGTATTTACTATCGATTCATGCACTTGAGTTGTCTATGAGTTTTGTGATAGTTTGTTATTATTTTTAATAAGTTTGATTATTCTATAAATAGTTTGCATTTAATTCCACCAGTCACTACAACATTTTCTTAGTTTAGTGACATTTAAAAGTGCCACAAAACTATTAGTTTAATGACATTTTTCAATTTTGTGGCATTTTGAACAAGTGCCACGGTAGATACTTGCAAGTGCCACTACACCATTATGGCTAAAAACTTTCAATGGCATTTTGATGTCGTGGTAGATATTTTTTGTGGTACTATCAAGTGCCATTAAAAAAAGAGTTAGTGACATTTATAAGTGTCATTACACCATCAAGACTAAAATCTTTCAGTGACACTTTAATATCATGATAGGCACTATTCGTGACGCTATCAGTGCCATTCGTGATGATTATTCGTTGTAGAACAATTTGATCCGCTCTTGCGGAGACTCGAACCGCCAACCTCCCGCACCATAAACCTTATACACCACACTCTTCCCACTACACCTCTGTTGGCTTTTTGGCTTTTCGAAGGGTATTTTTGTGAATGTGAGCGTGCCAGCAAGGATCAATCAGTCCTTACAGAAATTATAATTGCCAACCAATTATCAGACGATTGTGTTTTAGTTCTTTTCAGCCTCAATGAAGAGGACTTTTACTGGTGGCTTGACTTAGGAGAAATTAAGAGAAATAACAGTAATATGAAGAACAATTGAAGTATTTCATAAAAATGAACACTTACAACGGTCCGAACTCAGCCTCGGAGAGGTTTACAACAGCAATCTACTTGAATCTACTTAAAGCTACTCCTATGAATCGAAGTGCAGTGCGAGTATTTAAAGTGCAGGTATTTAAAGAACAGGTATTTAAAGACTGGAAATGTAAATGACTGGAAAGAAAATATATGAAGTAAAATGACTGGTTTGTATGATCTGAGTCCGTCCTTTCTTTCTGGGGGCTGTCCTGCTATTTATACATGTCAGTGATGACCTTCGAACTGCACTTCGAACCGTCGAACTGCTCCTCCATGATCGCTGATCATGCTTCCTTACAAGTAGCTCCATTACGCCACTACTGGCAGTTGAGCTTCCCTCTTGTACTTAGATTTGAATATGAGTAACCGTTGAGGACACGTCATCTTGCATCCCGTTATTTGATCTAGTGTTACTCAGATCATGTGAGGACCAATATTTATTGCCACGTGTACGACCAGGATTAAGGGCTTGAATAACCTTCCTTTATTACCCTTACTATGTCACGTGTCGAACTGTTAACTGGCTTTTACAAAATATGTAGCCAACAGGACTTAAACAAGCTTTCTAAAAATTGTATCTTAAATTTTATGATACTATTTTTCCTTTGGATTTAAAGAAAATATTTTTTATTAATGTACAAGATCAGTGGGAGCAAGTTTATATTTATGATTTTATTTGGTGATATTAGCGGATTGCAGTTTTCCCGTGCTTCCAGAACGTGTATGGAGTCCATGTTCTGGAAACACAACCGTCATCCATTTGGAGATCATCTGTATTAACTCGTCGAACATCCCAATACCTTAGTATTCGAACAGGCTATGGCTGCATCAACTTCCCTTTCTATTGATCAAGTATATGAAGAGTCTTTGAGTGATGTTGTTCCTCCTCGAAAGAACCTCCACGCATTCATTAGCCACCTTTACCTGCCCTTCTCTATTCAGGTAATGAAGGCTTTTGCAGATTATAAACCTTTGGACTACGAACACATTGCCTTTAATCCTTTGGTTTATGAACACATTGCCTTTAATCCCTTGGTTTACAAACTTACAAATACAAAGAGTTCTTCCCCTAAGCTCCCTTTGTATTCTGACCGAACTACCCTTGAGCCTTTGCTTCGACAAGTTGCAAATATGAATCTAGGAAACTCTTCTTCACAGACCTCTGCATGGGATGAAACCGTGACCCCTTCATCCTCTGGAGCTTCTGGCTGGACAAGCTGGTCCACTCCTGAGACTTATGATCTAAGGGAGCGAGTTAATCACCATTTTGTTGAGTTTACTGACCCCTTGGAGTTTCCCTCCTACGCTCGAAGCTCAGTGGTCTACCCTTACGTGCCCATTGACCTTCGACGTAGCTTGGAGGAGAATCTGCTTGTGGCTTGGTATACTTCTTCCATGCCTACGAAGATAATGCACCCTGCCCAGCGTCCAGAAGAAGCACAAGGGTACACCCCTTCATTTTTAGCCAAAAAGGCGAAGATTTGTTCTTCTGATTGGCTTGACTACATTAATGCCTTTGTTCCTTCTGCTCCCGTGCCATCTCCCATAATAGAAGCATCCACACCTTCTTCTCCATCCTTTGAAGCTGAAGCATCCACATCTTCTTCTTCACTGTTTGAAGCAGAACCATCCACTCCATCTCCTCCTCCTACTTTGTCCTGGACGGAGAAACTAAGGCTCGCCCTTCCAATGGACAAAGTTTTTCCACCTTATCAACCTCCGTCACCCCCTTCTCCAGCCGAGCGAAAGCAAGCTCAACTTTTGCTCGCGGCTTTCTCCCATCTGCCCTTCAATGTTCTTGAGGATGACATTCCTCTTAAGAACTTTCAATGGGCTTGTGATATCTTGACTAGAGGTCATGTTCTCAACCCTATTGCCCAAGCATAGCTTCATTTGTTTTTGGACCAACTCCCAGTGCTCCTCTACTGGCATCAGAATTCTAAAATCACTATCCAAAATCTGGATGAACTTTTATCTCTCCGAATTCATGCCCAATATGAAGCAGAGAATTTTATCGAAGAGTTCGATGACTTCAGGAATAAAGATTCTGCGTACTGGGATGATTTGGTTATAGGTGAACAAAAATCGAAGGAAGAGGCCTTCGAAGCAAAGGCTGAAGAACTCTATTATGAAGTGAGAGCTCATCAGCTTATGCAATCAACTTTAGAAGAGATAGAAGAAATAATAAAGAAAGAACAGAAATTTATTGACCATTGCTGGACAAAATTTCATGACCTTGTTATTTATTCTATTCCTTATTTTTATGAAATTGAATATGTAGCCAAGCAAGCTTTCTGATGTAATTACTTTCACCTTAATAAAACTAAGTTTTCCTTTCTTTATTCAGCATGGTCTGACTTCCTTTCATCTCTAAAAGCTAATTCATAACTTTGAATTGAACAATCTCATCCTTCGAATCAACTGTTTAATGAAGTACTAAAAGAACCAATCATGTCTTCTTCAAATTCATGGAGTAAAATTGACAATTCTGGCAGATACTATTTTAGTACTTCGATTTCAATGACTTTATACTAACTGTAACCAATATATGGTCATAGTTGATATAGCCAATCAATTTGAAACTGATCTCTTTTGGCTTCGAAGGGCAATTTTATGAGCTTGAATTTGTACCCAGATAGAGTTACTTAATGTAATCATCTTGGCTTTAATATAAACAAAGTCTTTCTGTACTTAACGTTTTTTGACTCTGTTTCCTTTCATCTCTAAAAGCTGACTCATAACTTCGAATTGAATAATCTCATCCTTCGAATCAACTTGTTTAATGAAGGACTAAAAGAACCAATCATGTCTTTTCCCAATTCACGGAGTAAAATTGACAATTCTGGTAGATATTATTTTAGTACTTCAATTTCAATGACTTTACTTTGTCAACACTAGCTGTAACCAATATATGGTCATGGTTGATATAGCCAATCAATTTTAAACTGATCTCTTTTGGCTTCGAAGGGCAACCTATGGCAATTCCCTCTTGCTCATACAGAAACCAATAATTGGTCTTGGATATTTCGAACAGTGCCCCTCTTCCTTAAAGAGTCATTTTGACTGATAACCTTCAAACGGGTCTTTAGATTGTTTGAAGTAGACCATTACTTTGAGTATTCAGGCATTTTTAAGCATGAAGTATGTTCTGAACAGTGCTTCTCATACTCAGAGAATACTAGGGTTTGCTCCGAAGGTCGTTACTTTGATTCCTAATCAAACAATTTAGCACCTTTAAGCAGATACTAGGCTTCGAAGCTGACTTATGTATTTCGAAGCCGTTGTTACTTGATTTTCTGACGCCAAGATCTTGTTTTCGAAGCCAAATAGTTCATTTCGAAGCTGGCCCCAATCCCCTGAATAAGCTCTTCCCTCCAAAACTACCAATTTGGAAGAAATTCTTCGCATTCGTACTTTTTGTACTTGACGACTTAAGGGGTATAATTTCGGACACAAAGGTTTTAAAACCCTCTCGTTCTGTGTTCCGAAAACTCTTGCCTTTTTCAAACCCTTCTCTCTACTGGTTTTTCTGATCTTCTTTGCTCTTCTTTTCCTTACTACCAATGGATCCCTCCTCTCTA